TAAAAACTCTTGAAAATAAGAAGTTACAGGAAAGAAGGATGATTAATGATGGTAAAACTCAGGGAGGGCAGAAGTGGGAAGAGTACTGGTACATCTTCGGGATTGCAGTCAATGTACGAAGTGTTGAATGGAAAACCAATTTACTCGGTAACATTTTAAATCATAAAATTTTTTTAAGAGCTCATGTCTCGATCAATGATTTCATGCTGGACAGTTATGTAGGTGTAATGAGTGTGGGAAAGCTTTTACCTGTTAAGTTTTCTTGACAAATGCAGAAAAATGAAAAACCTTTAAATTCACTCAAGGTGTGAAAACTATACACAGGGAGTCATGTGTCATCACATATCAATGATCTCTTGCAGAAGGGAAGCCCTGGCAACATAGTGACTTTGTATATGCCTTCTGTGGCTTCTCTCATGTATCACTAAAGACCAGTCAGATCCTAACTATTGTAGTTTTGGTGGGACGGCCTTTAGCCAGAAGGGAGTCAAGTGACAATAGAGGATTTGTACAGCAGAGAAACCATATGAATACAGTGAATGTGGCAGTACATATGCATTTAGTGACTCTGGCAGTGCCTCCAGTATCCACTTAACGTTTAATTTTATGTTCCATAAAGCCCATAGGATAAGCTGTGATGCACTAATTAGAAAGGAAAGCTGAACAAAATGTTCTGCCTCATATAACTACAGTGTGTGTCCTGCAGGAAATGAATGCCTGATAGACTCATCCTGTATGTATATATACATTGATAACACCGATATGATTTTCATTTGATCTCCTTTTTGATCCATTTTAACATACTTTCAGTCTTTAAAAAGTGAAGGAGAGATACACTGACCATAGACTAGGTATGTGAATGGCCTTGTTATGCAGAATGCACTGGAAAGTGGATTATTAAAGATGCAGTTGGGTTAAAATATAACCCTTTATCTTTTGAGCTCCTTTTTGACCCATTTGAAATCAATTGTAGTTTTTAATTTTCCTTTATGATTGGGCATTATCTCTTTTAATTTGTTTTTTTTTAAATTGTTATTGTTTTTTAAAATATATTTCTCTGTATATGAAATCTATGATGCCTAATAATGGTATTGCTGGATCAAATGGGATTTCAATTTCTGGTTACTTAAATTATCACAATACAGTTTTCCATAGTGGTTGTATATATTTACAAGTCCACTGGCAGTATGTATGCATTCTAACCCCTCCATATCATCTCCAACATTTGTTGTTTTCTGTTTCTTTTATTTGGGCTGGCATTGTGGGTGCAAAGTAGTATCTCGTTGTGGTTTTAATGTTCATCTCCCTCAAGGCTAGCGATCATGAGCATTTTTCATATATTTGTTAATAATTTGTACTTCATTTTTGATGAACTGTCTGTACACTCTCCTGCCTTTAATATCTTTTTCCCATTTCTTGAGTGGGGCTCCTGTTATTTGCTTATTGAGATGTCATAAGGTCCATATAATTTTTTAATTAGTCTTTTGCCAAACGTGTCATTGGGAAAAATTGTTTGCCAGTATGTCTGCGCTCGTTTCATTCTTCTGATGAAGTCTTTGATATGCATGAGTGATGTAATTTCAGCATGTCCAAATCTTCTATCTTGTCTTTGCTGAATGTGCCTCCTCCGCTGTACTTGGTGGTATAGACATGCCCTCCAGCAGGGTTGTTCAGTGGCACGTAGTATTGCTATGGGCCATAGCCAACAAACAGATTTATCTTGGAGGAAATATGACCAGAATGCTCCTTATAGAAAAAGGTGGCAAGATTTGTCTTCCATGTTTTGAATATGTTGTGCTGTTTATCATGAGAAATTAATAATCAGTGTAATGGCATTTATGTCCAAATTGGGAGTCTTATAGCCAGTGGCCAGTAGGAGGATTCAAGTCTCTCAGAAATTCCCCGAGGCCCAAAGTGATATTCAGGTGGGGTTTATAAGGATAAAAACCACAGACAGTTTGGCAAGACAGAGGGTTGAGGTCTCTGCATTCCATTTAGCAAGTGGTTTACAGATGCTAAGATAAGGGTTAATCTTTTCCTAACTTTGGGAGGCAAGGAAGGAATAGGATAAGGAACAAAAGACACATTCAAAGAACAGGAGGGTGTTGACATTTGGGTAATAATTCACTGAGAATCATATCTGGGGCAAAGTCGGGGTAGAGGAGAAGGGAGGCTACATACTTTAGGGATGACAGAGGCCTGAGACAGCATTTTAAAGTTCTAAAATGGGGTCACACAAGTCAAACTTGGGAGAGGGTCTTACATTCCCCATTGGTTTTATGTACAAATCAAATAATTGGTTTTATGAGG